GAAAAAATCTGGAATTTTGTATTTTGGCTTTATTCTGTGTTGTGTTGAAACAGTGTTCGTTAATTTTTGGATCCCATGGCCCTAACTAAAGTGAATTCGAAATGGGTATTTAGTGGGATCGAAAGGGGTAGTAATAAGTGTTTCTTTAAGGTTGTGCGAGATAGAAGTAAAGATGTTTTATTAAGTTATTTTCCCTGGTACCTTGGTGTGAACTATAAGTATGATTTTAAAGATCCTGAAAGAGAAATAAGAAAAGTTTATCGGACAAGTAATCAAGATTCTCAAGAAGAATAGGTAAGTTAGTATTTTTAATTATTTGAGGATATTATTTTTATGCATTGTTCTAAATGTAAGGTGGAAGTAAAGTAATTTGCGTAAACGTGCATGGAAATAATTTAAATATTTGACACTAAGTATTTGTAACCATTTGTAATGTTTGCGGTATGAATTTTAGTGACGTTTGTAATATAATAGATAATGTAGAGAGGTAAAAGTTTTTGGATATTTTATTTATTTATACGGAAAAAATGTTCATATTTGGAAGGGTATATACTTTTTAGCGATCAGGTAATTTCATATATGGTTTTACCGGGTTTAAAGATTCAGAAAACTGTATGCATTTTCGTGAAATTTTTCTAATTTATGAGAAAAATGCAGTGTACATGGATATGGTGAAGAGTGTGCGCAATGCCATTTTTGTGCAATTCTGGGATGTTTTTTTAAGTAAAAATAAGTTGACGTGTACATGGTTTAGTGGTATTTTAATTAAATGATAGTTATTTTATGTTTGTAGGAATTTGGTATACGTTTAAGTTGAAGTAAACGTGCATGGAAATAATTTAAATATTTGACACTAAATATTTGTAATGCTTGCGGTATGAATTCGTTGGTGACGTGTGTAATATATAGATGATTTAGAGGTAAAAGTTTTTGGATATTTTATTTATTTTATGGGGAAATGTTCATATTTGAAAGGGTATATACTTTTTCACGATCGATAATTTCATATATGTTCTTTTTACCGGGATTAAAGATTCAGAAAATTTTTATGCATTTTCGTGAAAAATTTTTCTAATTATGAAAAAAAGCAGTATACATGGATATATAGTGAAGAGTGTGCACAATGCAACCTGTTTTTTGGGTAATTCGAGATGTGATTTTTTTAAGTAAAAAATAAGTCGGCGTGTACATGGTTTATGTGTATGTGTTATTTTGAAAAATGCGTAAGGAGTATGGTATTGTGCACTTTTTCCCAAATTTTGTAGTGAAATTTGTCATGATTAAGCAGTTTTGTTAGATAAAATTTCTAGCATAAGTGTAATTCGGCTAGTAGATTGTTGGAAGAAGTGTTCAGTAGATAAAAAGAAAAGAAACATGTCTTTACTTCGTGAAAACAAAATAGAGGGTTGCTGTAGGAGAGTTGGTCGCCAAAAAAACGCCAAGTTACCATAATGTAAAGATCAACCAAAAATTTTATTCTACTTATGGTAAAAGTTTACAATTGGATGCCCCTTGTTTCTTAGCAATTCATTTTTGACGCCAAGATCGGCGCTTGGAAGGCACAATATCAAGATGGCCCATACACAAAAGTCAAAGAATTGCATAAACTCTGTGTCCATGTACACATCGATCTGTTTTCACTTAAAAAAAATCTTAGAATTACACAAACTAGGCATTGTGCACTGCCTTAAATTTGTCCATGTACACATCAATCTATTTTCATTTAAATAAAATAAGGAGGCTAAAACAAAGTGAAAAGTAAACTATCATGGTAAACAGAGGTGAGGTTTCATCGCCAAAATTTAAAAAAAAAATTGTCGATAATCGAAGGGGCACCCAATTCTACACTAGAGCCCTACTAATATTGCTTAAATATAAAGACTATAACGTTATAAATGACAGTTCATTTATATTTATACATTCAAAATCAGGAAACAACAGCCCCTTTCATTTGTACTGAAAAATAAAATAACAAGGTTTGGAGTGAGAAATACATATTCTGGATAATTTTCTTCTGGAAAAAACTATTTACAAATATAGTCTACTAATATTTCAGAATCCATTGGGTATAAGAGTAATTGCACATAAGCATTGCACACAATGCATAAGAATCAAATAAAAGCATTTTTAACCCTTTAACTGTCAAGTTATTTTGATGATTTGGGTACACAAATTGTCAAATTTTTTTATTGGAAAAACCAAATGTAGCCGAATTAAACATCTCTCAATATATATTCGGGTATGACAATACGATGCACTCAAAAAAAAAAAATTACCCCGAGAAATACTCGGGCGTGACATTTTCGAACACCAGTGCTGTGCCCGAGATAATCTCGGGCATGACAGTTAAAAGGTTAATGATTTATAAACGGACTACACTTTCAAATGAGAAATTTAAAAATCAGCATTTCCTAATTACATGCCTTCCTCTCCCAAAAAACTGACAATTGTTGCTGACTAAATTTTATTAAGCTAAAACATGAAAGACAGCAGCACTTTTTAAAAATAGCAGCACACTAAATATTGCATAAAACAACCACCAATTAACAAGTTTAAAAATGCAAAAAACATTCATAACAAAACACTTGAAAATTAAACTTCTCTTTCCAATAGAAATTAAATTAAAGCCCCAAGTCATGCTACTAAAAAAGTCTGCAGACTGTAGATAGATTCCTCGAAAAACTGAAAAACATTATTGTTATATTATGGAAACACACATCAGAGATTAATACTAAAATTATCATAATATTGAAAGTTTTAAAAAAATGTGCAGAAACTTTTACTTTTTCCCTTAAAAAATTACATTAACAAGAATGAACCTGATGAAAAGTATGTTATTAAATAATAAATTTGATTTAGTTAAAAATAATATATTTTTATTGTTATTAAGGAAATCCACATAGTGAAACAATACTAAAAATACAGCAATAAATTAAAGTTATAACTGTGTGAAATATCTTATTTTTCCCGTGAAGGATAGCATCATTCATGATGAACCTAAGGAACACTTCTGATTAACTAATTGTATTCTGATCTTTATAAACCTATGCATTTTTAGTATTTGATATTTAGAGATTAGAAGGCATCATGTAACTGCATGTTGTTATAAATTATACGAAAATGATAATTTAGATGCACATTAACAAGTTTAATTTTATTTAAAAATCCAAGATATGTTAATTTCTCTTTTGCAAATATATGAAAGTTCCTATTACGTTCAAAAACAAATATGTTATATTTTTAATGAAGTTACTAATTATAAAACTGCTTTAATTGAATGTCATTGTCCTAAAACTGAACTCTTATTTAATGTAACTTAATTAATCATTTTTGGAATATATTTTTATCCTGCATGAAGATCCTGCATTAATGATAACAATATTTGAGATGAACAACTTATAAATGGAATACTTAAAAAATGCTTTATTCAGTGCTGATAAAATTTAAAACTGTATCAGACTTTATACACAATGATAATTAAATATGCAAATATAACTAATAAAAAGTATGCATGCTTAAAATTAAATATATATCTCTAAAAAATTCTCAGATGCATTTTCTATGCAGAACAAATGAAGTAACAGGAATTTAAATGAAATGTGGAATCCATTTCAAATGATTATGCAAACTAAAAAAATTTCCTTGGCATAAACTTCAGAACAAATCTTGATTCAATGAATTTTGAAAAAAATTTTTAATGAAAGTAAATTATACTGCTTATAATTAAGTGGCTAAATTACATACAGTAAATTTGCTCCTATATAAAGAGTTTCGTTAACATTCAAAATACAAGATTTTTTATTTGAAATCGATGCTGAATGTTCAGGTTTTTTTTTTTTCCTATTTTAAATATTGCTATTACTATTCAAATTTTTAGAATAATGTAGCTTTTCAGAATAAATATTTCTACTGCCTTACCAGAATATAGATATTTATAAACAAGAACTATGCATGAAGAAATGCACAAAATATATTTATCAGAACAATGAATTCCATAACCTCATGATTCATAAAATGTTGGATTTTAATAATCAAAAAAAGTTATGTGATATAAATGCCATAGGTTTCACTGTTACAGTAGAGCTGATTGTTCTAACTTCTCTCTCTTGACTTGTGGGGGCTGCATGCCTCTCACACGGTTAGTCGTTTTCTCATAAGGACCATGAAATGCATTCAGTCTAGATTTATTTTTTATAAACACCTTATAAGGGCATGAGAAAAATAAAGCTCTTATTATGGTAATTTATTCAAACATGCAATATATATATATATATATATATATAAATCTATAGGTTTTTCTCGCGCATAAATTGAAAACGATTTAATAGAGCGAAACTCACGCAGTACATTCAATTTATACCATGAAACAAGTATAACGCATACTTAACTAGCTTATGCGTAGAAATGAAAATCGGGCATAACTTGAATCAAATGTTCAAGACCAAAAATTCTTAAACAATGGCCTTCATAGTCCAGTGCTTTGACGTTATTTTAATATCCATCCCATACGATTATGTGCAGTCATTCCAATATAATCGGAAATAACGATACTTAGCAGCGCATTGTGTAATTTTTGCCCTCTAGCAAATTAATTTTAATAAAGATTTTGCACTCCAAGCAGAAACCCAAGCAACAATCAAGGAGTTAAGCAGTTGTTTACCATTGTCAGATGATTGGGCGGAGCTTAGCTTACAGAGGAAGAAAAATAAATGAAGAAGTGGGTGGAGCATCTCTTTTAGTAATAGCTGTAATTATATATTTTTAACTGGTATATTTCTTGTTGGGCAAAAACAGTCAGTTTAACATTTTAAAAATATTAGAAATGACTATCAATATACTTTAAAATCATTGAATGAATAAAAGATATCACTAATTAATTCTATTATGTTTCTGAGGGAGTACGGAAGAAGATTGACTTTTATATTTCTGAATATGTGCAAGGCCAAAAGAAATAAAAATTTTTATAATTGTGTAATTTAAGAAAATATTTTCGAAAAAGATATGAGATTCAGATAACACAAAACTTTTATGAAAACAAAATATAGATCACATGATAAATGACGTCAGAGGACAGTTGCCAAGCTGTTTGCATTGAAGGTGAAGGAAGGTTTGGTGTTGCAGCGCGTTGGAAAAGGGCTGAATTTGAGCGAGTCCCGTGTTATTTTGAGAATCTGATAGTTACTCCAGCTGGAAGTAAAAAGAGACAAACGCATAAAATATCCGAACAAAAGATGTCGTCACCAAGCGCTGGCAAGCGACGAATGGATACGGATGTTATTAAACTGTATCCTTTTCAGAATAATTTTGAATTATACCCCTTGCATCATTTAAAGAGCTTTGTTTTGATTGTGTCTTGCTTATTTAGATTGGAGCTTATTAAAGTTTATAAAGCTTATGTAAGCCTAAAGTAGGCCTAAAAAATCCGTACCATCCTTCGCTTTATGAATCTGACAACATGGAAAAAGTATGCATTTAAGTGAATTGCATCATAAGTTTTTTTTACGCGTTACTAAAATTTGTTCGTCGAGCGAAGTTGATTTGTGCTTTATTAAATTAACCCTTTGTTATTAAGTTGAAGATTTTATAAGAGAAAAGAAACATTTTATTTTTGGTTTTCGTATTTATAAATGCGTATATTTGGTTAAACATTTATTTAATCACATGAATTTGAGTAAAGGAAAGTTGTTTATTAAATATTATTCATACTTCCTGTAAAAAGTAATCAAACAGTAATTTAAAGGGACATTCTATGCTATTATCATTGAACATCTCCAGGATGTTTTATGAAGAAAATATATATATATATATATATATATATTTTTTTTTTTTCCTGGAGGGGGGTCGAATTGAGAGCCAGTATTTTGATTTATTGGTATAAGATTATGAACATTTTTGGTTTGTTATTGTGTACATATTTGTATTGCTTGTGATGAAATTATTTCGATTAATATATGGAATTATAAACTTTGTTCAGTTTAAAATTATACATCGTGTAAATATACTTAAAATGATCACCTAAACTTGTTATAAATTTGTTATTAAAAAGTTTGTGTAGGTAAAACAACATTTAATTTTAAACATTATTCTTTCTTTTGAAATATAAATAGTAGTAATCATTCTCGAAAACTTATAGTAAAATTTTGTTTCACATATTCCAGAATATTTTCTGTAAAAATTGTTTTATCTATACATGTTGTTTTGTTGTGTAGTCATTATATTTGTATTGCTTGTGATGAAATTATTTAAAATTATATATCGTGTAAATATACTTAAAATGATCAGTTAAACTTGTTTTAAATTAGTTATTAAAAAGTGCGTGTAAGCAATTTTTAAACATTAGTCTTCCTTTTTGAAATATAAATAGTAGTAATCATTCTCCAATTCTTACATATTCTTCCCATAAAATTTTCTGTAAAAATTGTTTTATCTGTACATATTGTCTTGTTGTATAATCATTATCCATGACTTATATAGTAATTGCTGCTAAGAGATCTATTCAGAACAGAAATGTTAGACTTAACGTTTTTAAAAGTATAGAAAGTAAACACGAAGTAACCATATTAGGAGGTCTAAATGAATTCTGTGTGAAATTTTATGGTCCTAAAGGAAGTAAGTACAATTTTATATATTATTATGAAATTTTGATGGCAAAATTTTAAAACTCAATAGGCCCTACTTTTGCAGTCTGTATTTATACTGAAAATCAAGATGAAGCCAGCTTTTGCCCTTTTATTGCACATGAGGTTTTTGTCCTCACCGAGCTGGCTTTAGGACACCTACTTGTTTTACCTTTTGACAAATGTACTGCACCATTCAAATTTCATGCCTGGCCCCTGTCAGCAGAACTGATCAGATAATGCAAAACTTATAGTCCTCACACTGAGTTTATTTTAAAATTTCAAGGAAGTTCAGTTTCAGGTTCACTTAATTTTGTATTACATGAGTAAAATGAAATGTCATTCTCGACTGTCATATAAAGTGTGAAGGAAATTTGTTGATTAAAAAAAAGCATTTTTTTATATACTGATTCTCTAAATTTTTAAGCATTCTTTGTTATGTTAATTTATATTTACTTTATATTTTATTTACCAAATTGTATATAATTTTTTACAAACCTTTTTTGTGGGTGAGTATTATCATAATTTTTAATTTTTTCCCTTTTTCTCTTTTTCCCTCGTATATGGATCCGTTAGTTCTTTTTTGTATCTTACAGCTTGTTAGAATTAATGCAGTAATGATTAAATTTGTAGTTTCGTTCACAAATAACTTTGAATATAAAATTTTTAAAGTCTGTTTAGCATAAAAAAGGAGAAATATATATATATATATATATATATTTAATAGTGATTTTGCAATAACTTAGTTTTATGTAATTTGATTGTAAAAGCTTTTAATATTTATGCTTTCATTTTTAGCTGGATTTGTACTAATGAAATATGAATTAATAATGCAAAGCTCTTTATTTCCTCATTTATTATTATTTTTTTCAAATTTATGGTAGTTTTTCTTGAATTTCTGTGCCTGTTTTCCAGTAATGAGAGTTTACAAACTTTTAAACTTTCACATTGTTTTAAAGAGAGTTATGACTATCTCAAAATTTAATTTGAGCATATTTTTAATAATGTAGCGGTAATAACGTATATATATCAATGGGACCAGAAAGTAATGTATTTTCAAGTAGATTGAAACAAATAATTTTATATTTTGATTTTGAGTCAATGATATAATCATCACCATTATCAATGATTTTTTTGTCACCTGGTGTACAAATTTTCAATTCTGGACCTGGTAGAACAAAAGTTTCTCAATCAATAATATTGCAAATTCCATTTTTGACTTTTTCTACATTTTGAAATTTTTTCCTCTCAAGGAGTAATGCAATGAATGACCTGAGTAAACAATAATCTGAAGGTGCGATGTTAGGTGAATAAGGTGATTTATGTAATATTTCCTATTCCAATTTTTTGATTTTATCCAGAATCCTGTAGATTATGTTTACTGTTAACGAAGATGTGATGCTTTTTAATTAAAGTTTGGTTTACTCAGTGTAATTTTTTAGAATAAAGGTCTGTAGTTACAGTTTGACCTGACTTTAGCATATCAGAAAGATTATGCCCTGAATATTTCATCAAACAGATAACATTACCTTTCTAGGATATAAGTCTGGCTTTAGAATAGTTGTTGGAATTGTGATAAAGGATCCATTTTTCATCTTCAGTTGCTACATAATCAAGGGATATTTTTTGTTATATTATTGCAGCAACACATACCTCTTTTTTAACCCTAACTGTCAAGTTATTTTGATGATTTGGGTACACAAATTGTCAAATTTTTATATTGGAAAAATCAAATGTTTAGTACAAAAATATACTTAAGGAGTTAAAAATTGATATTTTGAAGTACATGGGTAAAATTTTTAAAGTCTTGTAGCCACTGCATATTTGCTTGAGGCGGCTGCCACTCAACATGGCAGTTGTAAAGTTCGCTTCTAGTGGAGCATTATTTTCCAAAAATGAAAGAAATTAATTATTTTCTAAAAAATAAATAAATAAAAGTGAATACCTATTAGTAGTTCAGTAATTCAATCTTGTTTGGTACAATTGGAAACACTTTTCCAAGCACAAACCAACTCCACAATCACTACACCAGAATCGTGTTTCCTTCCTTATCTTTTTCCCATTGTTACCCTTTTTCGAACAACACACTTTGTACTGTCTTGTAGGCTCACGTTTCGCAGGAGTAGGAGGAATATGCGAAATAAAATGTCGTTCAGTAAGACGGGCAGGGTTATCTATTGTAGGTGGTCTGCCAACATTCTTTTGTCCAGAAGTTGCATCATCATATTTATGTAAAAGCTCTTCTACAACTTGGATTCAAAATTCTAAAAATGTAATATGTTTCCCAACTACATTTTTATAGAACAAATATGAGTTTCAGAGTACCTTGTCTAGTAAATGTAAAAATATCTTTTTATAATATTTTTTCTAACGTTTTTGGATTGTTGGATGAAAGGATATTTCCTGATCACAGTGATCTATACCACCCATAGTTAAACTGTAGTCAGAAACAATCTTCCGACTTGAGTATATCTTCATTTTTTTTTATTTTTGAGGCTGACCATGGAAGTATCATGAATACTGCTCATCAAGCACACATCCTTCATCTTCGGTTGAAGAATCTAAATCATCTATATAACGTTTCAAAGACCTGGATGCCATTTTACAACAAAAAGATCCCGTGCACATTGAACTAAAGAACTTATAACCTCTAACCTTTGAAATCTTCAGTAAAGTGCTGTCATCTATTGAATTGAGCGCACATTAACTTTTCCCGAGATACATTCGGGTTTGACAAAGAGATGAAGACGAAATAAATGTCTTCCGATATATATATTGGGTATAACGATACGCACTCAAAAAAAAATTACCCCGAGTAATACTCGTGCGTGACATTTTCGAACATCAGATCTCGGGCATGACAGTTAAAAGGTTAATTTAGCTCTGGACAAAATTATAAGAGAAGCTGGTATTATTATAAGAGGTGCTATATGTAATAAATCAGTTCATCTTCTGGCCTATGCTGATGATACAATTGGAAGATCTACAGCTATTCTGGAGAAACCGTTTTGGCCCTAGAGAATTCAACCAGGAAAATGAAGCTCAGAGTAAATGTAGAAAAAAACTAAATACAGTACAAAGTCCGTAATCCGGATTCGTCGGGACTAAGGTTTTTTCGGTTCATAGATCATCAATTTAAATCTGGTAAGATGGCGTGCAGAAATTATACAATTTAAAAATATGAAACCATAATTTATGAAATAAAGAGCAATTATGATCGAATAGGTGTCAAAATTTACAAAAAAAAAAAAAAAAAAACTTAATATTTATTTGCTTACTTTATTGAACATTTCTTTCAACGTAAGTTATTTAAGTTGCTTCGTTTTTTGGTGCTAAACGCACATGCATAAAGCATAAAAAAAAGTTTGTGGCTTTGAGGTACGGATTATAGATCGTTCCGGATAATGGACGTCCGGATTACAGACTTTGTACTATATATGTATTGTGGTAAAAGAGAAAATCCACCTAAAGTATTCGAGATTGGCCCATTTAAATTTAAATCTGTGAAGAATTTCACCTGTTTGGGCTCCTAAATTAACTTTCAAAATGTTACTAATCATGAAATCAGAAAAAGGATTATTGCTGCAAATCATTGCTTCTTTCGTTTAAGACCTCTTCTGAAATCCCATCTAATAAAGAGAAGAAAAAAAAATTATATTATACAAGGTATTAATTAAATCATTCTTAACTTATGCTTTAAAGACAGGGACACTGAGGGAAGAAAGAGCCTTGGCAAGTTATTTTTGGTGTTGCTTTGGAGAATAATATATGATAATAATATTCAATCTCTACAAAATGTATAAAGATGATGATATGATTAAGTTCATATAATTAAGTAGAATGAGATGGGCCAGTCACCTTCTGAGAATGAATGAAAAGAGGACAGTCCTTAATGCAACTCCTTTTTATGGAAGATCAAGAGGAAGACCTAAGAAAAGATGGAAGGATTGCCTGAATGAGGAATTTGCCAATCTAAAAATTAACTGGATGTCAATTGCTGTAAGGGGAGTAGAATGGAAAAGGCTTCTGAAGAAGGCCAAGGCCCACAAGGGACTGTCCTGCCAATGCTGATGATGATTGCAACAACAAATTACAGGTAATTGAAACATAAGCTTTGTTTCCTGCTGACAGTATGTGTAGAGTCCAAGTGTCTTTTCTGTTAACTTTACCAAGATGCTTCAGATAATCTGGAATGGTCAACTAAGGAGTGTTAAGCTTGTCCAATAGCTTTTTGATTGTTTTAAGATGATTTGTTTCCACTTATCTGTAAAACATTATCAGGGGACAGTGGTATTTCTGAATGAGATGTGTTGCAAAGATCCCAACCTGAACCTAGAAAACCATCTCAAGCCTTTAGAGACACCTGACATGACTGGATAAACATGAAATGAATTTTGTAGCTTTTATTGCATTAATACCTTTTTGAAACTGTAATAACATGCAATGTTGAATATGTATCCCTTCTGGTTTTTGATTTTGCATTTCAAATAGGAACTGTTATAAGAAAGAAATTGACTTGTAAAACAAGACTGTTACTTGTAAAAATATTTTGCGTAACCTCTCCATGTGCAATGAATTGATTATTATTAAACAAATCTTGATACCTGAAAATATTACATTTCTTTCTGGTGTTTGTTATGTATATGTTTGGGGAGCATATTGCAGTATGTAATGAAAATTAAAGTAGTAAATCTTTGAAAAGGTTTTAAATTCTATATATCATTCATTATAGTCCTAGATTCTCATTAAAAACTTCATTAATAAGTAAAAAAGGCACTAAATTGTATAGGTTGATTAAATCTTTCATATTCTTAAGTAAATTTATGAATTAAAAAAAGTTTTGTTTTCATGTTAATTTGCTGGCAGCTTAAATAGCTAAAACAAGCAGCGATAAAGTTTATAATTGTTTTGGATGCTACAAATTAATGTATTTTTTGCCTTTATAATCCATGATAGGTTTCTTTGTTTCCCTGTTCCTGTTGTTATTATTGT